GGGGGGGGGGGGGGGAGAGAGATGTTAGCTGAACCGAAGATGTTACATCCTCGGATATGATCAGTAATATACCAGACGATTTGCTATTTGGAATTCTCTCATTTGTCCCTGTAAGAGAAGCAATGAATACAAGCTTACTCTCGAAACGATGGGAATCTCTATGGAAGATGATGCCAGTACTTAAATACTCAGAAAAATCTTTTCCGGACATGACTTTCCAAGAATTTGTCGAGTTTTTCCGCAGGTCGTTGCAATTAAATGAAGCTCCTGTTCTCGAAACCCTAACTATCAAAATAAAGCAACAGCAGGTTCCTCTTAAAATCCAAAGTTGTTTGCCTGGAACAGTCTTTCAAAAACTGGTCGTCCTGAAACTCCACACGATCCGTTATCTTGAAATTGATGATTCACCACCAGGAAGACACTTCTCAGCAGGTAAACCATCGGTTTGTTTCCAGTCCCTGAAAGGCTTGCACCTCACACATGTGGGTTTCCGTGAAGAACAATCTTTCTGCAGGCTAATATCGGCTTGTCCTGTTGTTGAAGATCTCTTCTTCAATACAGTTCGCACTTGCGCACCAAAAACTATTTTTCGGCGCCCTCCTCAAAAGAGACTCGAGATAAACACTCCTTATTTGAAGTACTTAAAGATCAAAAATATCACTGGTCGTCTCATATTTACTACGGATATGCCTAATTTGGTGGAGGCTACCCTTAAAGTTGATCCTTCTCAAACTAATGATTTTCTCAGAATTGTTACTTCTGTTGAGTTTCTTTCGATACATTTATACGCTAATGAGGTAATAATTAACTCGGTAATATTGGTTTTATTTTATTTTAAAAAAACTATCACTATTTTCATTTTTTGTTTTGTTTGGTAACCCTTGTAATGTTTGTGACATGCATGCAGGTTCTACTTCTTGCGGATAAAATTTCTCAGCGTCTTTTTCATCTAGAACTATGTATTTACGGCAAAATTTCGCGTAATCTGTTATTGCATTTGCTCAAACATTCCCCTAAACTACGAGTTCTCAAGCTTCAGGAGATACATCATTTGAGTATAGAGCCTGCACCGGCAGATCCATATCAGCTGTATCATTTACGAAAGTTCAATGATCCACCACCTTCGGTCTGTAATCCGAGTTCGGTTCCTGAATGCTTGTCGTTCCATCTACAAACTTTTAAATGGAGATGCTACAGAGGAACAATGGAAGAGAAAGAAGTGGTTCGTTACATCCTGCAGAACGCTCGTTGTTTACAAACGGCTGCGATCTTTGTATCTTCAGACTATCTTCGAGGCAGGAAGAAAAAGCGGCTGATGATCAAGGAATTGAAATCTATGCCTAAGGCTTCAACTTCATGTGTGCTTGTAACTCGACGTTTTTCTTAGGATCTTTGTTTTAACTCTTCACCCACAACTACAATTTGATGATGTGAATCCAGTTTTAGAATGTTGTTCCAAGAAATACATTTGGGATTTGAAATCTTCAAATCCTTTTAAACTGATTTGATGCATTAAAACAAATGTAACTGATGTGACTGACTTTAACGTCATAGAGTTTTGTTAGAATTTTCGTATTTTTCTCGGTTAGTAAATAGTATTGTATCAGCATTTGTGAGTCTTATACAATTTCTGAAATTGGAGCTGTTCCTTTTTTTCTTTTGGTTGACATAAAGAAACATGGGAGTTTCTTTCGGATGGTTTGATTCCTACGATAATATGAGAAGCTATGATAGCTTTATAGTTTTTAATACCATTGCTCTGAACATCTTACGTGCAAGCGGGAGAAAGACATTCCCTAAATATTATTTGATAAGTTATTTTTTTCAAATTTGCTAAAATATTATCACTGTATTATTATCATAAAAATGATAAGGTTAATAAAATATTATATGACATTCTCTTATAATGTATGACTAGGTGATTTTCCCGTGCTAATGCACGGGCATGAATATTTATAAAATAAATATACAATAATAATTGATTAATATTTACTTTAATTTTTAAATTAATTTATAGTTTGTATGTCTAATTTATATTATAATACTATATTACTTTAATTATATATATAATTTTAGATATGTTATATTTAGTATGTTTTATTGGTTTTACGGTCGATTTAGTTATCATTTAGATATATTGGATTCTATCTATTTCTCTGAATTCAACTATAATCTTTTATATTTTAAATATATTAAATTTTTGATTAATTGTCTTATTTGAATTTATGCTGGTTGTTATCTTAGATATATAAGTATATTTAGTAAAATTATATATAACTTAAGATTTTTTTGTGCTTAGAAGGAAAAAAATAAAAACTATAAGTGTCTGATTCTAAATTACATACATAAGTAACTAATGAATTTTTAGAAGCTTATGAACATATATCAATATTTACAATAATTAAATTATTTTATAAATTCTAAATAAATTTATGCTTTAGATTGATTGAATGGTAAAACTGAAATTTATTTTAACTACTTTTAAAAATAAGGATTCTGATTTGGTTAAGTATTTTGACTATGGTTATATTAAGTTATTTTCTGTTTTTATGTTTGTGAAACTTAATATAACCATAATAAAAATACTTAAGTAAATTAGAATCTTTTTTCTTAAAACAGATAATTTTAACTATTAAAATATAATATATCTACCTCGTTAAATTATATAGTGTTATGATATTTTAAATAATTGTAGTTACTTGATCAAAAGATGTTTATTATTAAATTTATTTTTAGTTTTATTTTTAATATCTCTTAAAATAGTCAGTAAAAATGACTCTTTTTGAGAAATTATACTATCCAAGTAAAATAGAATTTATATGTTTACTGTAATTGTAAGATATTATAGTCAAATAAATATACTAAATAATAATTTCAATAATACTAATTATAAAAAATGTCAATCAAACATATATCAGTTTATGTTAGTTGATTATTTTATGTAATCACTAATAAAATAGATAGATATATACAAAATAATTATTTTGAAAATATATATATTTTATTGTTTAAAATTATTTTTTTAAAGGAAAAATATTTCTTTTTCTAATAGCATTATTTTTGTGTGAAAGTTTTTTATGAAATCACATTATATACAGATATTTTTTTATCTGAGAAGATATAGATATAAAGTTTTTTATTACTTCAAAGGTATATTTTATGTTATTTAAAATATATTTAAATTAAATATTACTATTTTGTGAACTTTCCTTTTTTTATTAAACCATATTATATACTTATATTTTCGTTTTTAAATAGTTTTGTAAATTTGATAAATGTTTCCTTTTTATTTTATATTGTGATTTGGAAATTTAAAAAAATAATAATAATATTTAATTGTATTTTTAATTCATTAGGTGTATCATAGTAATCAACCAGCGTGAGAGTTAACGTGCGTGCGACACCTAAGAAAGTGACTTCTCAAATAATATTTCTTTTTCTAATAGCAATATTTTTGTGTGAATTTTTTTTTATGAAATAACATTATATACAGATATTGTTTTTTTTATCTGAGAAGATATAGATATAAAGTATTTTATTACTTTAAAGGTATATTTTATGTTATTTAAAATATATTTAAATTAAATATTACTATTTTGTGAACTTTCCTTTTTTATTAAACCATATTATATACTTATATTTTTCGGTTTTATATAGTTTTGTAAAATTGATAAATGTTTCCTTTTTATTTTATATTATTATTTGGAAATTTAAAAAAAATAAATAATATTTAATTATATTTTTAATTCATTAAGGGTATCATAGTAATCAACCAGCGTGAAATTTATATGAGTGCAACACCTAAGAAAGTGACTTCTCAAATAATATTATAGAGATATGTACAATCTTAATGGTGAAGATTTTATTATTTTGGTAAAATTCTAAGAAATGAGATAATAACATTTGGATACATACCATATATGTATATCATCTACATTATTATTGATAAAAATAAAAATATGTTTGAAAGTATAAGAAAATTTCACATCAAATTAGTATAAAATATTAACTAATTTAGTATAATATCTATATTTTATTAAATTAAATGTAAGTATATCTTAACAAATACAAAAACTAAGTCAATTTTACTAGATCAAATTTTATGGAAAGTTAGATACAGTAGAACCTTATAAATGAATATTTGATAAATATAATAAGTTTCATCGGGTCACAAGTGTACGAATGTAAAATATGACACTAACCAATGATACAATGTAATATATAGTCTCATTAAAATCATAACTTAATAATTATATATATATATATATATATATATATATTTATAAGTACCAAAAAACATTATAACCTTTTAAAATTTAGCTAAATTATATTTAAAATACATTTAAATTATATGGTTATATTTTATATACACCATATAATATAGTAAACAATATGATGGAAAATTTATTAAATTTAATCAATATATAAACTGTAAAAGAAATGTCTTGTTATTTTCAAAAATAATACTCTAAAATATAAAAAATAAAATTTTATAAACTAATCATATTATAAATTAATAAAATATTATAGTCCTTCTATTATTTATTTATAGATTTTTACTGTATTTGGAAGCATTTGTAAATCTATAAATCATCATAATTAGACGATTAATTAAGTTATCATTGTCGAATCTATTTAAATTTAAACATGATACAATACATTAAAAACTGGTTGCTAAGAAACAAAATAAAGTCAAAAATATATATATTAATTTTTTGATAATTGTTAAATAAAAATATTTATAAGTTCAAATCTTCATTTTATATAAAAAAAGTTATTTTAAAAAGAATTATTTATGTGCATTGTGCAAGAAACTACCTAGTTAAGTTTATATATTATTCTCTTACATATAGTACATGCAATCAACATAATTTGTTTCTTAATCTCAAAACATTAATATTGGATAAACCCAAATCTTTTGATGAAGATCAACTTTGACATAGTGATATCAATCATACCTACACAGGAAATTGTAAAACATCGTAATCAATATATGTTTACTAAAAAGCTATGAAATCAACTTATGCTTTTTGGGGAAAGAAATCAACTCTTACATTTTTTTGTCGTCGGGAAAGAAATCAACTTATGCTTAATTTGAAAAGATATCAACTATTTTTATTAAACATATTTTCATATAAATACACAAATAATATGCGACAAATTAATATTAAGATCTCATATCTCTCCTTTCCCCTACGCAAAAAATAAAAACTAGGTTACTCCTTCAGATCTCAAACAATTGGGCAATGAAAGCTGCGGGATTGGGAAGTGAAGAGGTTATGTATCCAGATACGATCAGTCACCTACCTGACGATTTACTCTTACGAATCCTGTCATTGGTCCCGGTAAGAACTGCAATCTCCACAAGCTTATTGTCTAAACGATGGAAAGATGTGTGGAAGATGATGTCAGTTCTCGTGTATGATGATGAAACGTGTCCTAACACTGGTTCCCTTGGATTTGACCAATTTTGTGGCGTGTCTTTGCCATTACATGAAGCTCCTCTTCTCAAAACCCTAAATATCAAACTTGGGAAGTACACCGATTCCATAGATACGGTGTTATTCCCAAACATCCGTTCGACTCTCCTAGAGATGACAATCCATTTGAATTATTATTATGGTTCTTACACTCCCATCACATTCCCAAATAACCTCAACGTCTTCAAAACACTCCTTGTCTTGAAACTTCAAGGCAAGATTGTTCTGGACGTTGTTAAGTCTCCTGTTTGTTTCCCTTCCCTGAAAATATTGCACCTCACATGTGTGGATTTCCAATGCGAAGAATCTTTTAAAAAGCTTTTATCGGCTTGTCCTGTTCTTGAAGATCTCTTCCTCCAAAGACTTTGCAGTCGTGGCCGTTTTTTGTTCAGCATCTCAGTCCCTTCTCTTCAGAGAGTATCCATTACTTCAGAACCTGCCTATTATGGTTCTGATGAACCAAGACTCGAGATAAGCACTCCTTGTTTGAAGTACTTGAAGATTTTTGATCGCCTTGGTTATTATAACTTTCTTGAGGATATGCCTAAATTAGTGGAGGCAGATGTATCAGTTGATGTGTCCAAAAATGAAAAACTTCTGACAGTTCTCTCTTCCGTTGAGCATCTTGTGATATGTTTATATCCTTCAATGGTAAAACCCTTAACATTTTTATTTTTCGCAATATTTGGTTTCATTTTCTTTGAAGATATCATTTAAGTAACATGCACTGTTTTTTGTGTGTAGGTTCTTGATGTTACGGATAGCTTAATCTTCAACCGGCTTCTTCATCTTAAACTAGACGTTTGCAACAGTTTTCGCTCTAATGCTCTTTTGAGTTTGCTGAAACATTTTCCTAATTTACAATCTCTCAAGCTTGGCCGCGTAAGTTCACTTTGGTCCTGCCTTTGTAATCAGTTTCAAAAACTTTGAACTGTTCTAATCCGATGCCTTTTATGTTTCCTAGGCACATCCCGAAGATACGGAGGATCAACTGTCCTGTTTAGGCTCGGAACCGAGATCTGTTCCTAAATGCTTGAGCTTCCATCTCGAGAGTATTCAATGGACAGGCTATGCAGGAACACTAGCTGAGCGAGAAGCCGCAGCTTACATTCTGAAAAACGCTGATCGTTTAAAGACTGCTACGATCAAATTACATACAACGTGCATGGATAATGGTCCGCTTATAGAGAAGGATTTGACATCTATGCCAAAAGCTTCGGCCTCATGTCACCTTGTAATCAAGTATTAGAATTTACTTTTGCAGGAAACTACATCTTGGATTTGATATCTTTGAGTCGATTCTGACTATGATATTCGCATTTAAAATTCAATACTCCCTCTGTTTCGAATTATTTGTCATTGTTGAGAGAAAATTTCGTTTCAAAATAAGTGTTGTTTTAAAGTTTCGAGGCAAAATTTATTAATTTTATATGATATTCTATTTTTCTATTGGTTGAGAAGTGTTTAGGTGAATAGGTAATTGTGTTTTTACCTTGAAAATATGTAAAATTAAATGTTTTCTAATCTGTGTGTAAAAACCTATAATGACAATTAAAATGAAACGGAGGGAAGTTTGGTCAAAATTTGAGGACATAACCTTAAAAAAACTTTTAAAACCATGCATACACCAAATTTTGTAACGATCAATCTCTTGGATGATTTCATTATCCTACAAAACTTACATTAATAATCATTTAATGCTTTCCATCCAATTAAAGAACAAAGTTATCAATTTAATCCGAAAGAAAGTCATGAAACAGAGCATTAATCTTCTATATCACTCCTAAAGAGTAAAAGGCTCATCATCATCCCTAATTATCAAACCTTCCCAACCTCCACATCTACACCATCTCCGCTGCATCCTCCATCCACCGCCGTGAGCTCCCTAGCCCTTACCGCCTCCACTTCCCAATTAGTCCTACACGTCGCCACCATCATACCACCCACACACGACATCTGCGCCGCAAGCATCCCTAACCAAAGTCCCTTGAATCCAAACCCAAACCAAAACGCCAAAACCATCCCCACCGGCATCCCAACCACATAAAACGACGCCATATTAACATTAGCTCCGATCCTCGGCCTTGCCGACCCTCTAAGAACGCCGCAGCCCGTCGTCTGAGGGCAGTTCCCAAGCTCGCAAAGTCCAACGATCGGCAGAGCCATCAAAGTCAACTTAATGATCTCCTCATCATCCGTGAAAAGCCTAGCCCACATGTTTCTGACCGAGACGGTGAACGTGAGGGCAGTGAACCCTAGGGCGATGCTGAGACCGAGCCCGACAATGGCTGCTCTTCTGGCTCTCTTTGGTCGGTTCGAACCTAGTTCGTTTCCGACACGTGTCGACACTCCGAAGCTTAGAGAGCTAGGGAAAATGTAGACAAGGGAAGTGATTTGAATGAGTATCCCCATTGAAGCAACGGTCGCTTTAGGGTTTATGAGAAACCCACAAAGCAAAATCATAATCTCATAGCACCACCACTCGAGACAAACCGAGACACAGCTCGGTATAGCGAGACCAATCAGCTTCTGCCATTCTCTCACACTATCTTCTTCAACCTCCCCTTCGTCGTCACCGATACTTACCTTGTCTTCCAAGAAAGCGATGTAGATGAAGAGAAAGACGACAAGGTTGAAATTTGAGACGACACCACTCAAAGCGATACCTTTAATACCAAACCCGAGATACGACACAAAGAGAAACGTGATGGGCAAGTGTAGAACACTCGCGACCGCCGTGCAGACCGATAAAGGGAGAGTTTTTGACTGTGTCCTGAGGTAAACTCTCAAAGGGTGTAAGAAAGATTGTGCGATTAGGTCAGGAACAGAGTAAAGAAGAAAAGTGTGTGCCTCAGCGGCAAGATCCTTGTCCTGTTTCAACGTTTCAAGAATCTTGTCGATGTTGAGCCAAAGAAGCGAGACAGGGAGAGATGTGAAGAGGAGGAGGACGATGCCTCGCCGGATTGTGGTTTGGACTAGGTTATAGCGTTTTGCGCCGAAGGCTTGTGAGCAGATTGATTCAACGCCCATGGTTAAACCGGAGAAGAGAGAGTAACCGGTTATGTTGGCGAATGCGAGTGCTAGGGAGCCTCCAGCGAGAGTTGGGCGACCGAGACCGCCGAGGAAAAAGAGAGAGACGAAGGAGCGGAAGTAGAGGAGGAGACCTGTGAAGACTAGTGGGAGAGAGATTTTGGAGATTGAGATTGCTTCGTTTGTGAAGTGGGAGAGAGGAGTTGAGTAGTTTTTAAGTAAATGTAGTTTCTCATGTTGAGAGAGTTTTGGGAGTAAAGGTGTTGTAAGTTCTTCATCTCTGACAGAACTTGATTTACACATTCTATGTGTTTGTCTATGAGAGAAGAAGATGTAGAGAGAGAGAGAAAACAAGAGAAGAAGATTTTTGGGTGTGAAGAAGATGTGTTAAGTGTTTGGCTTTATATAATAGAGAAAAGTAGTTAACAAAAATTTGTGTTCCTATTTGGATCAATACTATTATTTTTTAGTCAACAACGCTTGATTGGAATTATAGCTTAAATAACACGGAAGATAGTAACAAACAGAACAAGGGGACGGGTCAAATTCTCATGTTTAACATACCCACTAGTGCTTAGACGAGTGGGAAGTAAACCTATTCAAGAGAAACTTCTTCTCTCTCTTTCTCACTTTATTTTTCTACATCATTTCATGTTTATATATATGTCTAACTTTTCAAAGTCGCAAATTTACACGCGGTGCCACCATAGTTGAATTGGGGTCAAGGGCCAAATGTATTTTGGAGTTACATGACAACAAAAAAGGTATGAATTAATAATAATTAATTTAAAAGGTGCAATATAACACTTTTTCAAAAATAAAATATATGACACTTTTTGGGAAGGCTTTTTCACATAAATTTTGGTCCCATAGTTTTTGTATTTCTTGTTTCTTGTACTTGTTTGATTATTGTAATTTAATCGGAAAGAGAAATAGAAGAATGCTATACTACAAAGAATATGTTAATCAATTAAAAGATGGAGGTTAGTTGATTTGCAAAGTGGGATTGGCTAGTTGGACGTTGACTAGGAAAAACAGTGTTGAGGCAAAATAGTGTTCAACACTGGAGAAGAAAATGGAATTTTGTATTGGGACTAAAAGCAATAAAAGGAAGGGAACTTGTAGTTTGGGACAAGAAAAAAGACAAAATAATTTGCTGCTACATTCCTATACATAAATAAGAACTAAGTTTAGAAATTTATTCATGTCAAATGCTGCATACTGATGTCTTCTAAACTTTATCAAAGTAATTAATTATTGGTGAATTTGGATTGGATTTGGATACGTATACAAATAAATACTCTGATATATCAAAGTACGTGTGTCAATTCCTAGTTGGAATATTGTACAAGCATTTATCAGGGATATTTTTCTACATCATTTCGTATTTTACTTTTTGATGAAAAAGGGAGGTGGTCATGGTTATCTTGTCGACGATGGCTTTTCGTCGACGGCATGTACGTTTTTCCGCCGTACCTTCTTGTCTTCTTCTGTTGTAAGCTACTAAAGAATAATATATTGTCCATATGCTGACAAACAAAGATAATACATGTACATAAAACATATGCCTATTTCAGATCTTTTTATGATTCCCATAAAGTACATTTAGTTATATATATAAAACTCCTTTCGGTCAGATCTTCTGAAAGTTATGTACTGAAGAAATCACACGTGTTGCTCCGATCAAGATATGTTAATGGATACGTCTCACATCGAAAATATAAGAATTAATCTATTATTATATAAAGGGTTAGAGTCAATCGGATCAAATGAGAAATAATAACAAAACTAAATATATAATGTTTTTTCAAAAAAAAAAACTAAATATACAATGTAAGAAAAACAAAAACAAAGGTTCAATTATCTAAATTGTTTACAGAGATTTTTGCTTTTTTTGCAAAATTTGCTCTTGAACTCGAAGGTGGATTCCGAAATCCTTGAATGGATCAGAGCGGTTTCTGAGTGGAATGTGATGCATCAGAGTTCTCGTGGCATGAGTAAATTGGGAGCAATATATTGAGCTACTCTTGGATCTCCATCCCCTGAGGTTAATTCTTGTAGGGACGTTAATGCTTTTTCTCAGCCTGATTTTATTCAAGTTCATCATATTGTTAGATGTTCTAGTTTGTAGTATGTTAAGAGTTGTGTTTCTTTAGGTTTCTGGGGTTAATCTGCCTAACCGCTGGCTTTCTAGGGTTTATTCTGTTAAACCGCTAGCTTTAGTCTCTAAGGTCATTTAGACAGCCAACTTATGTGTAACATCTCTGTATCTTTCAATCGAATCACATCTTGTTTGAGGAAAAAAAGAAATCAACGATAAGCTTAGTTTTTTGTTTGTTTTACTTGGTTAGTTTTTAAATATGGTTCAGCATCTATTTAGTTCAATGCACAACCAAGAGAGGAAAAAAATCAAAAACAAAATTGACCTGGGTTGCATATAAGATAATTAGTGGAATAGCCTAACAGTAAAAATGATTGGAAATAATAAAATTCGGTAAAACAAAATCTATGGGATAGTCATATAGTATTATATATTTGTTTTAATTCTAGTTTGAACATGCTTACTAATCATTCTATGGCGTATGCTTTCAGAGGCTAAGCCGCAAGAATTACAGGCGGACATTACCAAGATTAGTCATCGGAATATGTTGACTAAACAGTATAGGTTTGACCTGAGTATCTAAAACTCATGTATGACTTAATCAATGAAGTACCAAAAACTGTGTGAAATAGAGAATCCTTTTAAAGTCTTCTTAATCAATCTCTACAGCTCAGATAGCATTTAATGAAATGATATTAGGTGTAATTTATAAGACTATGATTAACCTCAATTTCTTAACTAGGATTCTAAACTTCAAATAAGAGAAAGTTTTTAGTTATTTTAGATTTTAACTAAGAAAACTAAAAACCGTGTCTTAAATAAGAGATATAAGAGTAACAATATCGGCGCCTTTGGTTTGGTCTTTAAAGGGAAAGGACCTACAAAAACACCAAAAGAGGGGAGAAGTCGTTAAATAAGAGGTGTTTTGGTTTGGTTCTTGTGTTTTTTTGCAGGTCTCACTGACACGTAACATCCCGCGATTAACTTGTTTTGTAATTTTTTTTTAATCGGACAAAAACAAAAAAAAAATTAAGAAACCTTACCCGATAATGTTGCTCTAAGAGTTGGTTCTTAGTCGAAATGTGTAAAAAAAGATTAAATCATGAATTAAAAACTTATACTAAGGGCATGATTAACCTCGGTCTCTTAATCAGAGTTCTTAACTCATGATTTATTAAAAAATAATATTTTTTTATATTTTTCGAATAAGAGACGATAACAATTTTTAGTTTCTTTTAATTAAAATCTTAAAAGACTAAAAACCATCTTTTAGCTGAAGCTTAGAGCTCTAATTAAGAGACTGTGGTACTAGATCGAAATTAATCATGTTAGAATGAAGCCAATAACTCTAATTAAGAGACTGTGGTCCTAACAGATACTCTTTTCCTTCATTTTACACTTAAGATAATGATCACTAAAATAGATCCTAATATATTTAGGAAGAGACAAAAGAAAAGTTTCTCTAGTAGCCGAAAACCAAAAATGGTTTCGAAGTGAGAAAGTCAAAAAGTAAGAAGCGTTGTTGGAGCAAAAGCAACAAAGATAGGAGTTGTTGTCAAGGGGGGATTCACGCACTTTGACGGCTTTCACATCCAACGGTCGACATGTCCCTAGCATCACACTTCACATAGTATTTTATAATACGCATTTAATTAGTCGGCAAAGTGGGATTATCAAATATTCAATTGGAAGCAGGGAAACATACAGTCTCCCCTTTCAATAATTTTCAATTTAGAGTTCTTCACTCAAATAATAATAATAAATTTATCAACTTACGCATTTTTCAGTTACAGAAAAAAACTTATGCATTTTGTAATTTATATATTGTCCTACGTTTTTGTTCTATTTTAATGTAAAATGATAATATAAATAATGATTTGCATTGGCTAATCTCAAACCAAATATCATTTCAGCAACAACTAAATACTATGATGTCATTCTACTGATAAACATGACTCTAGTACCATATATAACTTTATAAAAAATCAAAATCAAAGAGTATATCAGTGATTTGCTTATATAGTTAATTAATTTTCAAACAAAAACCATAAACCTTATCAATATCAGTATTTAATAAAAATGCTTAATTTTTTTTTTTTTTGGTTTTGTTTTATATATATTTTCTATTGAATATAATTTTACCATTAAACATAAGCAAATGCTTACAAAATGGGAAACACAGAGCCAAAAAAGCTCACCGGAACAAGTGGCCACATGGATTAAAAACTCGCCCATCAGATTATCTAGAACACAAACCAAACACGACAATATTGCCTCCAACGATGAAGAAATTTGTAACATCCAAAGAGGGCGACCTAGTGCAAGTAGTGGAGGCAATGTCTCCAAAATAAGAGATTTCAAGAGAAAGAGATAATATAATTAGATGTGAATTTCCCAATTTTCAATGTTTTCTTCTTTGTTTAAAATTTCTCAAATATCTTGGACGATTTGATGACATTTTTAACCCTACATGTTTCATGGACGTGAAAACGGATTGGTGAGAACAAGCTAAGCGTTGAAGTACCTATCACAAAGATCCTTTAAAGATAGAATAGTTGATTGCGTTCGGTGCTTGAATTTGCATGTGGTCGATAATAATGTGTTGGAGTTGCGTTTCTAGACTCTCATGTCTCAGCAACAGAGACAATCTCTTTTTCTTTACTTTTTCTAGTAATTTTAGCCTAATAAGTAACCACCCTTCCACTCAGTCGTTGCAGCATCTCTCACATGTTTGTAATGTTTCTGCCTAACTTTAAATTTGCCTATTTTCATCCTCATCTTTAGTTAGTTACCCATCACATATGACACTAGCACCACAATATCTTTATTCTATTTTCACCATATTGGTTCATAGGTGCGTATTTAACCACCAACAATTCCTCCAATAAAAAAAAAAGATCCCGTGTTACGTTCTATGGCTTCATTTGTTTGTTTGAATTATAATTTTCTTATTAACCCCCCCTAACCATTACCTTCTTTCTATATAATACATTTTCAAACGCTAAAAACATATTACAATAAAACATCTATAAATTAATAATATTAGAAGCATACCAAAACTATAATTTTTTATTAATTTATAAAAATTATTAATTTATCAATATACCAATTGAATCAAAATTTAAATTTAAAATTATATTATTTTATAAAAATTTTTAGTGTATATTAATTTACAGAGTATTAATTTATAAAGATTATATCGTATAAAGATTATATCGTATAGTTGTATTGTTAAATAAGATTTGAGAGTTAAACACAAACCCAAAATAACGTTTGAGTTTGACACTGTCTAGTCCTATCTTAAATATCATCGGTGAGTCGATTTAAATTATCTCCACTCGCACGGACATCAGGGTTTCAAGCCCCACTTCGATTACTGACATAATGGGCCCGGCCAATAAATAGGGTCTACGATCGACATGTCAGGGTTATTAAAACATACACAAGAAGCGCTTATAACAAAACCATCTACTGAGAAATCGTGATACGAAGTAAAGTGTTGTTTTCACCAGTACTACAACAATCGAATTCGAAGGAGTCCAACAAAATGTAAATCAAGTTCACGAAAGCACTCAAAAGAACACCACTAGAAACTAAACATAACATAGCAGACTTCAGACAACAGCTACTTTTCGAGAGAAACATCTGTTTGTGATCATCCACAGACGGAGTCCCATCATTCTTCTGCTGGAGGCGAACGAGAGTGGCTGATCAAGTTCAAAGCAACAAAGAGTGTTAAGTATGATACTGATGACATTTAAATGTAATAATCTAAATATAGTTTTGTGATGGTTTTACCTCTCACGTATCGGGCTGTCTGCACGACCATATCCTCTTCCGGCTTCTTCTTCTTCCATTATAGCTCCAGGGCTTTCAACTTGACCATTCTCAGGGCTAGACTTCGACCTTGACCTCTCCCTCTCCCTCCTCTTTTCATATGGAGGAGGACTCCTGCTTTCACCACGTCCATTTCTTGGACTACGCTCCCTCACAGCTCCGTTCTCTGGGCTAACTTCCTTCTCCCTCCTACGATCATCTCTTTTGTAATCAGGACTAGCCTCCTTCTCCCTCCTACGGTCATCTCTCTTGTAATCAGGGCTATCCACCCTCTCCCTCCTGCGATCATCCCTCTTATAGTCAGGGCTAACCCTGGCTCTCCTGTAAGGACTCGGGCTGCGTCTTCCTCTGCCATAATCAGGGCTAGTCCTTTCCTTCCTGTGTCCAACAGGACTAGCACCTCGTCCATAGTCAGGACTGCCTCTCTCTCTTCTGTATGGACTTGGTGAACGCCTTCTCCTATCAGGCGACCTATCACGACGCCTCTCAGGACTGTATCCGTTTCCTCTTGCATCATCATCTTTCATTGCATACTCCACTGAGATCACCTTATCCATCAGCTTACTGCAAACACAAAAGAAGCAAAGATTAAAGATGGGAGCATGAGGCTAAAAGAAATGAGAGTGTAAAATGAACAAGGAAGAAACCTCGAGTTAGTAGCCTCCAGTGCTCTGGTGGCGTCTTCTTGCAACTCGTATTGGATAAATGCAAAGTTCCTTCTGATCCTAACGTTTACGATTTTTCCATACGGCTCGAAATGCCTCTCCAAGTCCCGAGTCCTAGTGCTCTCCGCATCGAAGTTGATGACAAACAGAGTCTTGGAAGGTCTCATGCTTGATGATCTCCTTGAACCACCTGATCTTGTAGGAGCTCCACGCTCATTCTACACCAAACCATTGAAACAAGCTTTCATTCATTATCTCTGTTCTGACAGTAACTATGAAAAAACGGTCAGTCAATTTTGCTACCTTAGTCCACTCAACACGGAGTCTGCGTCCCTTACGGCCATATTCATAGCGATCAAGTGCTCGGATAGCATCTTCAGCATCCCTTTCGTTTTCCATATAGACAAAAGCAAACCCTGTGGAAAGAAAAACCAAAAATGCAGAGATTAAGAACAATGAAATAACTTAAAACCAAGTAGAAGAACCTCATCCAACACTGAAGACCATCCTCCTTCCATTTTAGAAACATTCACTAGAGAGCCTAGAAAGTCTTCAAACTATTAAGTAACTAATAAAGCAGTTTTACAGACCTTGCATTATGGGATTAATATGTCAAGGGAACGACAACTGAAAACGTTGGGATCAATAGACGGAATTGTGAACTGAAACAAGGTGGGTCATAGTCCATTTTGGTCGGCTGCCTCTGCTGTGAGAGGTTGGTATGTTTCTACCAAAGTGGCGTGTCCGAGAGTACAAAAGTCATGAGGGGAATGAAATGCAACTAAGTAGAGGATATGGGTTGGTAGTGCTATTGCGAATGAGGGACGATGAAATTTTGTCCGTATGTATAGGTAGGTCCATCAGAGAGGCCCTTGGTGGGAGAAATGGGCATCCCAAGATCGACAAGAAAAAAATTCCTGCGCCAAAGAAAATGTTGAGTATGCCGTTTTTGTAACCCTAAAAGTACTTTGATATTTTCTCTTTTGAACTTCAAGCCGTCTGCTTCAGCGCGTGTGATATGATGAATGAAGAACAGATGGGCATACGTATGTAGGGGATGCAGCAGAGAACAAGACACTTGGTAAGGACGGTGAGAATGGTACTCCAGAGATGGTACGGGTTCGAGTTTATGAACGATGGAATCGAGTTTGGGCTTGCTCATCGGATTTGTAGTGGTTTGTTTAATCATCCAAGTTAATTAACCACAGATAAGAAACAAACAAGAGGGGGAAAGGAAAGGAGTATCTTACCAGCTTTCATATCAACCCTGTCAACCTTGCCGTATCTTCTGAAAAGCCTCTCAAGATCACCTTCACGAGCATCGTACTCAAAGTTCCCACAAAACACTGGCCTCATCTTTCCTACACACACACAACACCATTTATGCAAACAATCTAAGCAACATTAAAAAAGAAGATAACATAGCTAATTAACAGTTTAACACACTCCATGACATAAGTAATAACAAGCTTGCATAAGGGTTTCAAGTTAATAATTAAATATTCAAACCCAAAACCAATCAAAAATCTTCTTGACTGGAAGAAAGAGTATCAACATAACCACAGTTAAATTCTACTTCAAGCTTTCAAGTAAATAACTAAATTCAAACTCAAAATCTCATTAATAATCAAAGGAAAGGCATCTAAAGTATTCAGCTTTTATAGCAGATTACAAAACCTCAGATCTGAATATCAAATTTAAGCCAAGAGAAGCTATATACACAATAATCGCATAAAGAAACAACCATCAGTTTAAGAAGAAGTAAAATGAAATGAAACAGATGCAGGTTTTTAAGGAACAATTGACCAAAGAGAGATATCGAAGTTAAAATCTTTGGACGATGGAATCTAATTTCGATTTTACCTTTCACGAGAGGTTGGAAACCTTGCCGGCCGTCGAGAGTCGAAACCCTAGAAAGAAGAAGAAGGAGGAGGCTGTTAGATTTGTTTTTGGCTTTCTTCGAGGCTCTCTCGAGAGATATAATAATGAATGTGAAAACTTATAGTATCTTTTTATTTTAACTCGTTATTTTTTATTTTTTATTTTTATTTTTAAGATTTGTTTTTGTCCCTTTTTTTACTTTAAGCAAAGTATTACAAGTTTTTTTTTGTGAGCATTTTATAGTTTGTGAGATAGGAATCTTAATTGTTATTAAATAAAAGTTGTTTTTAATGTGCAATATTTAATTTTATCTATTTAGAAACTTATATCTTTCAATTTTTTTTAATCGAAGATGTATAGAGAGGTAATTAATTGTATCTTGTAACAAATAAGTTTTATGCAGCTAATAGCTGACTATTGACGTCAAAAGACTCAAAACATACAACAACACTTTTGTCTGGCAACTAATATAACATTCAGAAAACTATATCAGAAAATGAAATACTCAGTTTTTGTATTTGTACTTGTTGCAGAGTCTTTGTACTTGGACTAAATCTAGCATAAAGAAAGAATCAAATATCCGTACTCATTTTTAGATTTTGTATACATTTTTGGGTTCGGAACAGTATGCTTTTTTCCATTATGAAGGGTTTCGGTTCATCATCATCACAAACTTGTGATACTGATCATATAACTCCCATAAGAAGATTAATAAGAGTGAATCTCTTGCAAGCCAAGCCATGACTCATATCAAACACATTATAGACGAAATGTTGCTAGGAAAAAAAGATGAAATTGTGTTACACATTTTAGCAGTCTCAATTATAAATCTGTCATTTACGATTTGGCCTAGTTGGTTTTTTTTCTTTGAAATTTTGCCGAACTAAAACATTATTCTTTTTTTTGTTCAGTTCGGTTTATTTTTTATACTCACTCTTAGTTTTTGTCTTTTTATATATTCAGAATATCTCCAACTTCACTATATTTTACATTGTAAAATAGAGTTTGAAAAAAAGCTCTAACTTACTCTATTTTTTTCCACTATATAATAAAGTAAAAAAACAGTTTACTTAGATTAATTTTTATAATTTTGATTTATCATTCTAAATTTATTCTAAAATAGAATATCATTAAGATATAATTTAATTTTATTAGAGAACTGATATATTTTGAAAAAATAGAGTAATCCATAAGGAATTGTCTTAACCGCGTCCTTGAAGACCTAGTACTTCTATTGCTTTCACTGGTCTCTTGTTCTTGTTGTAATTGCATATACAACGAATCAAAAAGTATAGTTTTTTGGTCAAAAGCAATGCATTAAGATAACTAGTTGCATACTCCCCGCGCAAGCGCGGAACCGGAATCATTATGTTTGCGTATATTTTTTTCGATTTAGTGGTTTAGTGGATTCTTCTAATGACACCAAATAATAATGAAATGGAAAGAATGTAGTAAGAGTGTAAAGTGAAAATATTGTATATCTAATGTGTTAAATGTTATTTATATGTGAAGTAAGGTTTATAGGAACAGTTAGGCTATAATATAATTTTTAGTGTGTAAAAGTAGGTGTCTATTTTTTTTTTTGCTGTAAATAGTTTTTATATCAAATGTCAAAACTTGATATAATTCTATATTTATAGTATTTATATTTGTATTAAACGATTTATCAATTTAAAAATAACCTTAATTAAATTAATATTTGTTGTTTAAGTTTCATTAGATAGGTTTTTATATATGGTTTTTTTGTAATTTTGGGTTTTGTTCATAAATGATGTGGCATTTTTTATCTACGGCGTCATCTACTGTGGGAATCCATTCGCCGAAGTCTGGAGTCGGTGGTGAGGAATGTTTTCAAGGAAATTATAGTAATTATTAAAATGTAAGAGAAATTACATATTCATTTAATAAATAACGAAAAATACTTAAATTTTGTTGTTTATTTTATTTTATTTTACATACAAATTTTTTGAAAATTTATTAGGAATGAGTTAAATGTTATTTATATGCGAAGTAAGGTTTATAGGAATATGTAGGCTATAATATAGTTTTTAGTGTGTAAAAGTAGGTGTTTTTTTTCTGTAAATTGTTTTTATATCGTAGGTCAAAACTTGATATAATTCTATATTTATAGTATTTATATTTGTATTAAACGATTTATCAATTTGTAAATAATCTTAATTAGGTTAACATTCGTTGTTTAAGTTTCATTAGATAGGTTTTTATATATGGTTTTTTGTAAGTTTGAGTTTTGTTCATAAATGATGTGGCATTTTTATTTACAGCGTCATCGACTGTGGGAATCCATTCGCCGGAGTCTGAAAATCGGTGGTGAGGAATGTTTTGAATGAAATTATAGTAGTTATTAAAATGTAAGAGAAATTAAATATTCATTAAATAAATAACGAAAATAATTAATTTTTGTTGTTTTTTTTTATTTTATCTCACATACAAATTTTTTGAAAATATATATCAGGAAATATGTGCAATGATTTCATTTTTGAGCTCTTAATCTATATTATTCAAGCCTCATTAAGCCATCCACTTAGGTAGCCGCGTGAGATTTACTTTCTTTTTTTTTTGATCGGTTTGTTTTTGGATTCATTTTTTATTATTTTTGGGTTGAACTATATTATAATAGGATAGTTTTAAGGCTATTTAAGCCATCCACGTAGGCAACCGCATGAGACTTTTTTTTTTTTTTATTGTTCGTTTTTGCATCCATTTTTAACTATTTTTTATTTGAACTCGTTAAGCTTTAGGGTTTATCCAACTATTTTGATCTTTAAAACAATAAGCCATAAAAAAAAACATAAAAACCTTACAAACAAAAAGCCCATTTGATAATAACCCAAATAAAAAAAATCAAAAATAAATGATGGCTGCGTGGTTTGAACCCACGATCTTGCATGCTTAATTAGACACCTTATACCACTTGGCTAAAGTGTATTTCATTGTTTGTAATCATCTTATTAAGACTATAAGTTTTTAAAAAATACCTACGGGACCCACAAAATTGCTGATGTGGCGTGTTGTGGAGCCTAGAAAGTCTACTATTATAATATAGACTAGATTTTATACTCGCGCTACGCGCGAGTCTGTATTAATAATTTAAAATAATTTAAACAAAAAAATTAATTGAGTAATATAATTTTCTTATTTAAAATATAATTTTTAATTTAGTATTTATGTTTTCTTATAATTATTTTATCTTATTAGCTATTTAGTTATTTGTATTTGTAAATATAATAATTATGTTTGTAAACATATTCATAATTATTGGAAATATTAATTTATATATTAAAATATTAAATAGATTTCT